CTTTTTTTTTTTTTTTTTTAAGCATTGACTAGTAATAGACACTTACTTTGGGCTTAATAAATATTTGTTGAATACTGTTGGGGTGAGCTAGAAGGTATTTAAAAAAATGACTCCCCAATAACAACAGAAAGAATAATTTTATTGTGAAGCTCAGTACCACAAAACTTTAAATAATTCACTACAAGCCTTCATTAAAATTCCCCCCCCCAAAGTAAACAGACAGACAATGTCAAGTCTATTCGAAGTGACTTCAAGCCAAGGGGAGTGGAGGTATGTGACTGTCCTCCACTGGGCATTTGGTGACCGGGTGGGTGGTTGACATGGCAGGGAGGGGAGGTGGGGACAGAGCTGGGGTGGCAGTGGGCCTGGGGCCACAGCCTCTCTGGGGTCTTCCCAAGTCCAGCCACAATCCCGGCCTGATTTCAGGATCAGGCAGACACCGGGTCTGGTGCGGTGCCCTCCCGCCCCTGCCAGGCGTCCCTCCCCAAGGCAGGGGAGAAGGAGCCCGTCTTCCCTGAGGTCAGCTGTGCTGGAGGAAGAAGACTGGGCATGTCCGGGCAGAGATTTCCAGACGCTGCAAAGCCTGAGATGTCAGTAATTGTGGCTGCTTTAAGCCTGGATTCTATTTTTAAGTGGGATTTCTGTTCAGATTAACACTTCCTTCTCTGCAATTTAAAAAAAAGCAAACCTGCAAATGTTTCGGGTGAAGGAAATGGGCAAAGGTGAAGTTGGAGGGAAGCAGGGGGTGGGGTATGTGGGAGCAGAGGGACACTTTGCTCACTCGTCTTTGTCAGAAGCCCCAGTGGACACTTGCAGAACTGCCCTTCATCAATGTCACCTCCACGAAGCATCTGGAAACGAGGGGTCCTGGGTACTCCTCCTCTCACCCTGGAGCCACAGAGAGGGCGATAGCAGAGAATTCTGGGCAGTAGGCAGAAGGCCTGGGTGCCTACCATAGCCGTTTATTTGCTGTGTGACCTGAGTCAGGTCGCCCGACCTCTCTGAGCCTCAGTTTCCCCATTGGTGTGTGTGAGATAACTCACAAGCCAACCCTCTGCCCTTCCCAGCCTGAGTGGGTTCTTTTGTTGCGGTGTGAGGGAGGTGGGTGTGGGAGGTGGAGAGATTAGTTCAATGTCCCGGGCCGCCGTTTCCCCTGAAGACCAGGCTGGCCTTTTCTGGGTTAGCGGCTCCAGTTCCCCTTTTCCTCGAGGCAATGGACAGGCAGCAAGTTTGTATGCTTTAGCGGACCCCGGTTTCCTTGGCTGTGAAACAAAGAGGACTCATGTCCGGTTAGACCTCAGAGAGGCATTGCGGGGTGTCCAGGGCGCTGCTTCAGGAGAGGGAGTGCAGTGAGGGTGGGTGGGGATAGTGGTGTATCCCGGGAATTACAAAAAACAACCCTTTTTATTATTTATGGATTTGTGATTACTGTCACCCCTCCAGGTCTTTTCAGCTGCGCTGGGTAAATACTTCCCTAGAAGGAAAGGCGGGTCAGAATGGGGGCTCATCCTCGCGATGGCGTCCCCTCCTAGGACTGCCGACTCATCCCCCTGAAACAGCAGCTCCGTGGCTCAGCTGGAGGCGAAGCATGTCAGGCGCAAACACAGGCGAGGGCCGGGGGCGGAAAGGAGCGCCCTCCTGCAGCCCGCGAGGGCCGGGGCCCGCTGACCCGCGGGAACTGCGCCAGGCTCGGGTGCTCAGCGGCCGGAGCCGGGCCTCGGCCCCCGGAGGGCGGGCCCAGGGGCGCGG